TAAATTCAAACAAAGAACTGAAAGATCTGACTTCTAACCTGAAAAGTAAAAAAAAAAAAAGAAAGAATTGAAAATACAAATGAAAATCTATTCCATCTTCATGACTTGAAAGAGTTAATATTGTTAAAATGTCCAAGTAACCCAAAGTAATATACAAATTCATTGCAATCTCTATCAATTCCAATGGCATTCTTCACAGAAATAGAAAAATTCTGATGTTTATATGGGCCAACTAAAAAAAAAAAAACTCAAATAACCAAAGCAACTCAGAGAAATAAAAACAAAGTTGGGTGCATCAAATTCCTTCATTTAAAATTATATTTTATAATATAATATAGCCAGGAGATTGCGATTGAGACATGGGGGATCATTCAAGCCCAAGAATTCAAGACCTACACAATATAGCAAGACCCTATTTTAAAAGTGAATAAATAAAATAATATTACAGAGCTCTAGTAATCAAAATAGTATGGTACTAATATACACATACAGGCCTGTGGAACAGAATATCAAAATCAAAAATAAACCCAAACATACAGTGAACTAATTTTGAACAAGGACACAACAGAGAGGCCAGGTGTGATGGTGCACACTTGTAATGCTGGCACTTGAGAGGCTGCGGCAGGGAGACTACCATGAATTTAAGTCTAGCTTGAAGCACATAATGAGCCCCTGTCTCAAAAAAAACCAAAAGAGAAGAAAGACAGACAGACAGACAGACACAATGGTGAAAAACCAGTCTCTTCAATAAATGAGGATGAGAATACTAGAATTTTCACATACACAATGATAAAATTGGACCCTTAACATACATACATATGCAGAAAACAAAACTCAAAATAAATAAAAGACCTAAAAATTAGACTTCAACCATAAAACTCACAAAAGAAAAAACTAGAGAAAGCTTCCGTAATATTAACCTTAGCACTGGTGTTTTGGATATCATCCAAAAAACTCACGCTAAAAAACACAAATAAATGAAGAATATCAAACTACATCAAACTTCTGCACAGCATAGGAGATGGCCAATAAAATAAAAGGTGGCATACAGATTAGGAAAAAAAATTTGCAAACCATACATCTAACAAAGCGGTTTTTCTATTTTTATTTTAAAGAGGGTAAAATTAAACAAAACAGAACAAAATAGGACATAAGAAAGCAATGTAAGATATAAATTTTAAAGCTAAATGACCTGAGATCTTCACTATCTATCATATTGTCTCTTGTTTTCTTCCAAATAGTTGTCCATGTCTTCACATACTGAGAATTCATACACAACAGCATAATATAAAACTGATCCAAACAGAATGAGGAAGGTGTTTTAGGTCTTCAGAACCAGACAATAGGGAAGTCACTAATGGATTCATAGTCTCTCGTTCTGTCCATACCTTCATGTATATTGAAGTTCAACAAAACAAAACAGGCAGGCGGGGAGGGGTTGCTTGGTTTCCTGGTCCTCCAGAGCCCAGCATGGCTCAGATCCCTGTAAACGCCAGTGGCTCCCATCCTGGGCCTCCGGAGCCTACCACACTCACAGCTGCTCACGGGGGCAGGGTAGGGGAGAGGTTGCTTCAAGCTGTTTCTTTCTAATGAATTGACCATTTCACTGCCCAAGTTCTGAAAAGGTCAACAGACCATAGAAAGACATCTCTTTAGGCTCCTGCTTGAAGCCAACAGCGTCAGGAAGCTGCTGGCCTTGATTCAAAGCCAGTAACAAAGGGTTAATATCCTAGATCTATAAAGAAGTCACACAACTTATTAACAGGAAAAAAAAGTAATTTTTAAAATGATCAAATAGCTATATAGATTTTTTTCCACAGAGAACATGAAAATTAGACAACAGGTATATGAAAAGGTGTTCAATGTGACTAATCACAGAAATACAAAAGCACAACGAGATATCATCTTACACCTGCAAACACGGCTACTATCAAAAAGACTACAAATGTTGGTGAAGATATAAAGAAGAGTTTCTTTGTACAATGTTGCTAAGAATGTAGAATGGTGCAGCTATCATAAAAAGTAGTATAGAAGTTCATAAATTTAATACAACTACCATACAACCCAGAAATCCTTCCTATGGCTACATGCCCAAAAGAAGTTAAATTGCTACCTCATAAAGATACCTAGGGCTGAGGATGTAGCTCAGTGGTAAAGTTCTTGCCTTGCATGCACAAGGCCCTGGGTTCAATCCCCAGAATTGCAAAAGCAATCAAAACAAGATACTTATGCTCCAATGTTCACTGTGGCATTATTCACAGTAGCCAAAATCTGGGAAAAACACTGTATGTCCAATGGTGAATAAAAATAAAGAACATGCAGTATTATTAATATTCTCAGATGGATTATCATTTATTTGTAAAAAAAAAAGAACCTTCCCTTTGCCACAGCATAGATGAATCTGGGAGACTTTATGCTAACTGAAATACTCTGTTATCTCATATGTAAAATTCTAAAAAAAGAAAGAAAGAAAGAAAGTCAAATACACAGAGATAGGAAATAAATAGTGGTTACCAGAGGCAAGGACACAGGAAATGAGATGTTAAGTCAAAGGACACAAAGTAGTAAAAATATGTCGGATGAATAATCTAGAAATCATATGTATAAAATTGGGGCTTTCACTAATACTATACTGTATTCACAATTTTTTGCTAGAAGAATAGACTTAAAGTACTCAACACAATTTTTAAAAGTGGGTACCTACGCTTTTAAAGAGGGTTAAATTAAACACAACATGAAATAAAGCTACACAAATTAATAAACTACAGGTTATTAATTTGCCTGACTTACACTAACTTTTTCACCATATGTATATCAAAGTATCATTTTGTCTTAAATATATACAGTAAAATTTAGATAAAATTAGATATAAGAATTCAACTATTTATGAAACTAGATATTAACAAAATTTGCACAAAAGTAAAACTAGGTATTTTTTGTCCTGGAAAATTATTAATTTTCATAAATATGAAATTATCATGTAATTGGATTTTTAAATTAATAAATCAGTATTGTTTTACATTTTCAAGTTTTAATTTCTGTTAAATAGATACTTAGAATCTATTCTAAGTATTTTAGTATCTAAATACCTAATTATCTTTGTATCTGAGCTTAAAAGTTCTTTAGATTCTTCAATTTTCAAAAGTGTAAGAGTCCTGAGACTAAAAGCAACTGAGTATTGAAGACACAGGAAATTACTAAATAAATGAATAATACAGCCAAGAAAATATGGCTGGGTTTAAAAGTAGAAGAGACAAAGGCAAATAACTTATTCAATTGCAAATTTAATTTGAGCTCATTATCAAAAGAAATAAAAAGATTGTAGAAGTAAGTTTAAGTTATTTTAATCAGGCTTTAAAGAACGTACTATGAGAAGACACAATTAAGAAGTACTTCAGTTTTATGAGGCTATTTATTTTAAGAATTTTATTGTAGGGTACCAAGAAATGAAGACAGACAGAAATAAGGTCTATAATGCACTTTTAAAAGATACAGCAATTCCTCTTAAACCTCTTCATTATAAATCACAGAGAAGAGAGTAAGAAGAAAAAGTGCTGATTTTAATGTAATTATTTCTATTATTCTAACCTTTAAGACAAAGAATAAGAATAAGGTGCTGGGTGAAAACCAGCTGGATACATTAGTTCCCAGCTTTGTGATTTAAATTGCTAGTCACATTACCATCTTGTGGCAAGATGAAGTACTGCAGTGTTGAATGACAAAGAACCTGAGAGATGCTATCCATTCTTTTGATAAAATTTAAGTATCCTCCCCTTCCCACCATATCCTCCTGTCAACTCCAAGTAAAAGGAACCATTAGCGTTCTTTAATAAAAGAAAAAAATAGGTTTTAAAAAAGCCTGAAAGAATGTTAAGCAAAAAAACAGTAAAGGGAATGCACTGATGCAATAGAAAATTAAAAGGAAAATATAGCCAAAACTCAATGACTGATGAAAAATGCTTCAAATGCATCAATTCAACAATTAAAACCATCATGTCAAAATCTTACAGAGCAAAATTACATTTTATAAGCACTCATGAGGTAAAACTTCCCTTTGGTAGCTTAATTTCCGTTAATTTATTTCGTTTTATAAGTTAAAATTGCTGTCCACTTAAATCTTGAGTTTTCTATAAAAGAAATATCTGCATCCCTAATATTTTCTCTTCTCCTCGGCCCACATAATTTTTATATGAATTTTCCCAAGCATGCAAAAATACACTTACTCCTGATAATCTAAACCAAAATCTACCCTTACTTCTTGCAGACACTATTCTACACAACTTCAACTAAACCAAATAAAATCTTTTTGTGTATGTATACACACAATTAGCGTAAAGATTACGAGAATCAGACAAGGAAGAAAGGGTACAAAGATAGACTAACCTGTTTTATCTTTTATTAGCTAGCCTTTTCTGGTTTAAATTGACATACATAATATGAACAAATAGTACCCCTTAGATGCAGACATCCAGATTCAACAAGTCAAAAAATGGAGATAAAATACATATGGTCAATGTTTTGCCATTATTTTACATAACCAGAACAGTAAGTTGCCTCAGTTAAGTTTCATATTCTTGTTTATTCTCTACTTTGCTTCTACAGTAACAGATTTATAAGATACACTGGAAGTAAAAGGGCTAGACTGCACAAGCAAGCAAGCACCTACCTTTCCTGCCTCCCCTGTTACTCCAGCAATGGCAGACCCAATCAAATTCAAACAAATGCGTACTCCAAGCTCAGAATTATATAACATGTTTCTCTAAAGTAAGGCTTTGATATTTTTATGAAATATAAAGTATTTTTTAAAATTAGTTCAATAGTTCTTGAGTTTTGAAATCAACAATTACATGACAACAATTTGTAGTGTGGTCATTTAACAGTAATGGTTTTGAAGTGCAAGTCTTCTTTAATTTAAGAATACTATACCAATTAAAAAAAACTACCAAATGTTAATGTGTTCTGAAGATATAAATAGCACCAATTTATAAATTTTATCAAACCTGTTGATTGCAATGTTGGGTGCAAGGTGTGTGGAAACTGAAGGGTGAACAGTGGTGAATGGATGCTATTTCCAAAGAAGTCTTCTGTTGCTTTAGACTGCAAAACTTTGGTTTCCCAGAGCTGCAGAGAGAAAAACAAAAGTTTGCTTTTTAAAAAAATGTTGGAATATTTACTTCTATTTTTAAGTTTTTAAATTTAAATTGTCAGCTGATGGAACACAGAATAAGTACTACACTATAATTGATGAGTTAGAACTATAATTTATCTGGGCTCTTTTTTTTAGCTAAATACAGATAGAGAATCTTGTATTGTCTACAAACCTGTTTCAAGTCGTTTAAAACATGTTCTTCTATACCTTCTTCAGTAAATAGATCCCGCACTCCTTCAATTACATCTTCAATTATGGATTTGTAGAGTTTAGGCTATATAAAAGCAATTGTTAAAGTTTTAATTCTTAATTTTGAATGTATTCAGCTTTAAAAGACATCTATGTATAATTCCTAATCTCATGGCTTAAAAAAAAAGGTTTTATTCCTAAGTACACAGTTAGTCCTGGCTTGCCATAAATTGTCTTGGCTCCAGACCCCTAAACTCAGCAGCTGTGGACTCCTCATATTCCTCTCATCACCCAGCAGAATTAAAAAACTACCATAAAATATAAGATAATCTCACAAGAATATTATCATAAAGATAAACACAGTTATTTTACTTCATTTTTTATCTGTATATCATCTCCCTGTTCCTTTTTAAAGGAGAAATAAATTTAAGACAGCTCTCCGTTTTTCTCAAAGAAGCCAACATAGCTTTTTCAGGGTTCACTCTGTTACTTCCACAAATGATAATGAACTTTGAGGCTTAAAAGTGGGGAATAGAACTTCCAGGAGAACATGGTGGACAGATAACAGCAGCTATGGAGGCTCTCTGAGATACCCCGCTTAGAATCCAGGAATGGTGCGGTGCGAGGAGTCCTAAGCAAGGGGAGATATACGCTGCTGACCCAGGAACAAACTAAGCTTAGAAAAACCAACTGGAAATGCAATCCTGGTGCTATAACAGGAACAGATAAAATCTCAGTGCAGAAGCTGGAACCCACACCACTGGAAGCCGTGATTTGAATTTCCTGCAGCCACTGCTGCATCCAAATCAGCACGACAGGGAGAGAGACACACGAAAGCTCTGAGAGTGGGAATTGGCGAACAGAGTTGAGAGCGGGACTGGCAGGGAGCCCTACATCAACCTGTGGTGAGTGAGCAGAACGGGGACGCTTCCATAGAGTAAGAGGCTCCAGCAAAAGACATTCTGGGACCAGGCAGACTAGCCGGAACAGGACGCTGCAGTGACTTTAGTCGCATATTCCCCTCTCAAGCGGGATTGGTAGGGAGCCCTGACCTGGGTGATGCCACGGACTAAGACCCAGTAGGCTAGCTAAACCAGGTCCCAGCGCCTGGTGGTGCACCCTAGCAGTGAAGCCTTCAGTAGCTTGACCTGGAGGGGCAGGCCCAGCAGAGGCTGCCCAGGTCTGTGTCTCCCTAGTGCACTGCAGTAGGTGGGAACACCTAGTCAGCTCAATTCAAACAAACTGTAACCGAAAAAGAGGAAAAAAAAATTGGGCCTCCTACATTCACTTGTATGGAAGGAACAAAAAGTATGGGAAGAGGGAGCAACAAAAAAGGGTCCTCAGTCCCCAATCCTGAGAACACTGATCCAGGAAAGGTAAATGCAAAGGAGAATGAGGACAGAAAACATGCAATATCAGAAACGACACCAATAGACATAAAGTGCTATCTATAGAGCCTCATAGATGAGTTCAAAAGTGAAGTAGTTAATGAAATAAGGCAAGATATAAATAGAATAGTTAGAGAAATGCTAAGCACCACCCAAGAAAAAACAGATGGTGGAATGGAAGAACAGAAAAAAAGGGAAGAATTGTTTGACGGAGAAAATAGAGAAAACATAGAATATGTGAAGCAGGTTCAAAGAGATTACCAGGAAACTAAAAACTCTATTGAAAGCTGGCATAACAGCTTGGATAGATTATCTGAACTGGAGGGCAGATTTCTAATGTGGGAGCATGAAACGAAAAACTTCTTAAAAATAACAAGAAAACAAACAGCAATAATACAAAGGCTAGAAGATAAGAGGATCTATAACAAGAATTAAGAACACAAAAGAAGAAGTAGGGACACAAACAAATGGACTACAAAAGCTATTCACAGAAATAATCCAAGAGAATTTCCCTAATTTAGCAAAAGGTAAAGATACTCAGATGTATGGAGGCATATAGGACCCTAGCCACCTCAATCCAAACAGAGCTACACCCAGGCATGTAATAATCAAAATTCCAGAAATCCAATATAAGAACAGAATATTAAAAGCCGTCAGAGACAAGAAACAGATCATTTACAGGGAACACCCATCAGAATTCCAGCAGACTTCTGGGCACAAACCATCAAATCACAAAGAGCGTGGAGGGAAATAATTCAAGCTTTGAAAGATAATAACCTCCAGCCAAGATTGATATATCCTGCACAACTGTCCCTAGAAATTGATGGAAAAACAAGGTGCTTCCAGGATGAAGAGGAAGTAGGGGAATTTGCAGCCACCAATTCAACTCTACAGAGAATACTGCAGGATATTCTAAAAAAGGAAAACACCAAGATTCCAGAAACAGTGGCAGAGAGGCCACAATGAATGGAGCAGAAAGCAAAATGAAGAAGACAAACTGACAACTAATGACAGAAAAAGAGCTCAACAGAAATGAGGCAGAGAAGGTTGGATGGTAGGAACAGCTATTTTGGAGAAAACAAGACATCATAATAGCTAGTGATGATTTAGTATCATCTTGTTTTGAAGTCCCATCAAGCTTTTATTCTTCTGTCTCCATCAGTCTTAACAGGTTGTATCTTATTGGATTTTATTATATGTGATAATATAAACAAAAACTTTTATAGACAAGGAGATTATACAGGAATCATCAGTCATTTTCTGATAGTTGGTTCTAAATACCCTGTAATAATGTCGTTCTCTTGAATGGCTTTACATTGTCTTGATATGTTTGGTGCTACAGTATACGAAGTTATACTCAAAGATTTCAAGGAAAGAGACACTATGGTAACTACTTTTATGCAGGATATCTTGTGGTGAAACACTATTTTGCTTAAATGGTTATGTTTTCACCTGCGCTGTTTTGTTGTTATGCCTTCTTTTATCTCAATCTTTTTTTAATTATTTACTTTTTTATCTTTTTAATTAAGAGAAAAATAAATTAAAAATAGCAGGCTATATTATAGTAACCCATTTTGATTTCCTATTAACTTGATTTGTTTTGTTTTGTTTTGTTTTTGTCTTTTTCCTTTTCATCGGTACCAGGGATCAAACTCACGACTGCCTGCTTGCAAGGCAGGTGCTTATGCCACTGAGCTAAATACCCAGCCCCCTATTAACTTGATTTGAAACCCTGTATTGCCCTCACCACCTTGTTTTGACTGATTTTCCCCTATTCTGCTTTGCTTGATAGTACCAAGTTCGAAAGTATAGGCCAACAACTGTGAAGACAGTAAGATTCATTATGACGCCCATTCTGGTTGACTATTATCTTCTTTTAAAGTCCAATGTTTTGGTTTTATTCTTTACTCTTTTGTTCAATTTTACTATAACTGATGATATAGGCAATTCTTTTTAAGATAGCAAGAGGCAGTATGGTAACCATTGTTGATCATCTAGTATTTTGTTTTTACATTGTATATTATATCCATCCTTTTGATTTGACTGACTCTATTATGTCACATTTGGTTTTACTCTCTTCAAAAAAATAAGAACTGTGGGAGTAATAAAACCCAAAATGTGTAATTGTCATTGTACAAAAGAAAGGAAAACAAAGTGTTCTAAAGGATACAACTGCATGTATATTGAAATGTATAAGATAGATAGCCATATTACTGAATTTTGTTGGATCATTGAACAGAGCTGTTTGCAGTCTCACTGTTTGAAAGTCCACTTTATATGCTTTAATTTTGTAACTTGAACAACTATTTCTAAGATAACAATATGTAATCTATTAAATAGTGATTTCCTACTGTTTTTCTGTAATTCTGTATAACTTGTACCTTTTTTGTTTTTGTTTTTTTTTTCTTTTTCTCCTTAAATAAAATTTTTTAAAAAAGTGGGGGATAATCAAAGTTCATCACACTTGCAAATACCACAGACTCTCTCCCTCTCTCATAGACACACACACACACAGAACCACACAAATATGTATATTTGAAACCACTATCAAGTAAAATACAAGTGCACCAAGATGGACTTCCTATACCAAAACTAAGAGAGATGTAAACAAACCTAACCCTTCTGCAATGTTCATATTGTACAGATACCTCCTAAAGTGTCCTACTAAAATCACGTTATGAAATAAAATTAATAGATTTCTACACGGATTATACATTGGCTATATGAATAAAACAAGGAGTATGTGAAATAAACTTAGTCCTTAAAAACTACGTAAAATGTGCCCTACCCAGGTCCCCAAACCAAAAGGGCCACACTAACTGTGCTGATAGTACAACACAGTACAAGTTTCACTGATGAAAAAAATGGCAAAACAGGAATTTAGTTGAGTTAGACAAACTGTCTAATCAGGCCAAAATGAAAATTCTAGCATTCTATAGGATTGCCTCTTCATGTTACTCATAAAACATCCTAAATAGCCCAGTTCACTCCCAAAGAAGCCAAGTTTTATCCTAGTCCTTCTAAAAAGCCAGCGTTAAGCCTATGAATAGACCAATCAGCAACATTTAAATAATGTGTTAGTCACAAGCATACCCATTAAGACTAAGTGCCTCTATATTAGCTGCTTCTTCTAAACAGGTTACCCTTATAAAGGCTTTCTAAATTGATGCTTTGTGTTAATCCCAGCTAGTGTGATCACACTTAAGAGCTAGAGGAAAAAATTCCTAGGGCTAAAAACATCTTTAAGATCCGCCCTTATAATATAATGGCAACAGTCAAAAAGAACCCATTAGAACACAATTTTTCAAAGCAAAATAGGCATTGCACATAGTTTGTCTTCTACAACTAGAGTTAAGACTTTACATTGCTTACTTAATCTTTTTTGAAACCATATTTAATCCAAAAACCCATCTTAGTTCCTTCTCTAAAAGAAAACATACATTCCGCTTGGAGTTCACAATCAGGTATACTGATATCCTTCTTAAGCCTGTATTTAAGTATGTTGTATTTCTTAAAAAATGATCATAAAATTGATACACATTAAAACAGCATGTCTCAAAAAATGGAATCTTTTATGCTATATATGTTTACATCAAATTTTAAAAATTTATCTGGACAGTATATTGTCTTTCAGGAAATATAAAGTCCTGAAAATAAAAATAAAGCTTTTTCTTCTTTTAATTTGCACTTAAGATGGATGGAGAGTCTCACAAATGTCATTTAGGCTTAAGTTTTGTGAGCTTTAGAAAACCGTGAGATGCTAAAGGATGAGAAAAGAAACAGTAGGGAAAGACTAAAAATTGCTGGAGTAATAAGCCATTATCACATTACTTGTTGTTTAATAAGTTAATAAGTAATAAGTTAATAAGGTTAATAAGTAAACAGTAGCCCCTTGACTCATGAACGCAATTGGTTCCTGAGTTCCTTAAGAACGCAAATGGTTCTTAAGTTGCTGCGTGCAACTCAAGAAGTTATCAATTGAAGGCTCAAGCTCTTCTACCCAGCCTTCAAAGTTTCTCTCCTTTACTTAGGCAGATCTCCGTGTCCTTAGAGACACACTGTTTGGGAAAGGGTGTTGCAGTGTTCCCTCTAGAACTCTTTAAGGGTTAGATCTGTATCTGTGACCTTCCGGAAGCATAAGCGCCAGCATCTAGGTCATAATTCATGACTGGTCCTAACTTAAAACCAAAATTGTGGCCATAACCCAGGCCAGTCCTAACTCGAGGGTCTTTAAATCAACAACACGGCCCATACTGAAATTGAAAATTAGAAACAAGTGAACTGGGGAACGTTCTAAATATGCAGGAAATGAGCGGGTAGAGGGTGAATTCACCGCTAAACTTTGTCTCCAAGTACTGGGGATGGGAGAAGGCAGCGCTCCACCACTGAGCCACATCGCCAGCCCTTTAAATTTTGAGACAATTTCAATAAACTGCCCAGGATGGGCTCGCACTTGCGGTCCTCCGGCCCCAGTGTCTAGAAAAGCTGGTATTACAAGCGTGTACCAAAAAGCTCCCTCAGTCCCGGACCGCACCGCGCAACACAGCTGGGGGGACACTGTTTTGGGGAGGGGGGAGCCCCACTTCCGGCTGCACTCAAGGCCCTCCGCCTGCCTCCAAAAGTCTTGAAGAGGGTTAGTAAGTCTGAGGCTTGCCACTGAGTATGAAAGGGCGTGTCGGGTACACTGCCGCGAACCCACAGATCTGCGCAGCTTCCCTCTTCACAGGCCAGAGGCCGCTCCTTACCACCGGGTTGATGCCAGCCATGACACCAGCTCCAGCACCCGGCCCTTCGCGCCTGCGCAGCACGCGGCGGCCTCTGCGGACCACGCGCGGGAACCTTTTTTAAACGGTGACTGCGCAGGCGCGCTGCCTGGTTGCCTGGCAACACAGCGGCGTGGGCGGGGCGCCAGGGAGGAGCCTAGATTAAGGGGATGAGGTAGGTGACTGCCTTCCAGGGCGGGCCCTTTATGTCTTCAACCTGTGAAACAAAGCCTGACAGAACAGAGGAAGGGCAGTGCCACGGAGATTACAGTTCAACTTCAGTTTGGAAGGTTATGGGCGAGAGACGGGAAGATTAGTGGTTTCTGCTTTTACCAATTTTTGTGCCTTACCCCACACCCCACTGACAGCTGAACTCAAGATATAACAAGAACCAATCTAATACTGGTTCTTATCACCTGAGAACCTTTTAAAAATGCAGATGATCAAAGTTCTCCATAAGCTACACAGACACAGACACCACACGCTCGTGCTGAAATCAGAAACTCAGAACCAAGAGCCCAGCTCATTCTGATAGGTGCTAAAGCTCAGCCTTGGGTGCACATTAAAATAACCTGGGGAGCTTGAAAACACTTTGGTGCCTGAGTCCCATTCCAAAATATATGATTCTAAAAGGTAACCAAGGTGGAGAACCACTGTTTATGTAAAACAGCTCACCCTTGCCGTCCTTTTCCTCTGCAGGCGAAGATCACCGTTTTTTTGACCTGTGATTTCTTTTCACTTTGCTGAAGGATGAGGTCCCTACCTAGCTAGGGGAAACTAGGTAACCTAGAGGGCTAGAAAAGGGAAGAGGGGTCCATTGCAGTCACTGTGGCTTTAAACAGCCTTTCTTGTTAACCATCTTGACCTAACCAGATGATTATTTCATAATTAAAGTTCTGTTCGTTTTGAAATTGGCTATTTATACATAGAAGTGCAGTACAGCTAGGTATGCTCTGTCACTGTATTTTTGGTCTGGAACAGGTAACTTTTGGTTCATGAGTTTTCAGCAGCTGAATCATGTGAGACCCTTTGAAAGACTTTCCTAAATTGAAAACTATCGGAAATTTCTTTTCCACAAAGCCAGGAATTTGCATGATAATTTTTAATGGTTGTGTCTATCTGGCAATTTACTACCAGGAGTATTCAAAATGACTTACCTTTCACCCAAAATAGAAAGACTAAAGGCAGGTGTGGATTCCTTATGGTATTATAAAATCCAATTAAAGTATGCAAGCCAGGAAATAAGAAAGATGAGATGTCTTGCTTTCAATCTTTCTGAGAGCAAGGCTTTAAAATTTTGTTCCTAAATGCATAGGACAGTAATCACCTTTGTGTGACAACAGACTGTTTTGTTGTATTCTACCATATATATCTTTCTTAATCCTCCACTATAGATCATGCATATTTTTGAGATTAAATTCAGACTTTGGTAGCCATAAAAAATGACTAATAATCAAATTGAAAGTAATAGAAAGTTAATCAATGTTAGCAGAGAAACATCAGCCCTTTCCGTTTTCCCTTTGTGGTCTGTCCGAATGGTAGCCTTGGTTGTAATTCTGTACCAATAATAGGCAACAGCTATTAGAGAAGACATGCTTCATACAAGTTATTAATCAGTGATTGTGGAAGGCCCTACTCATCACTGTCCAGAAAGGTCCACATTTGTAATCCTATGGAACAGTTATTGGAATTCTAATCAATTAATTCCACTCTACCACTTCCAGTGCAATGCATGGTGCGAATAAAGACACTAAGGCATATATGTAGTTGTGGGGATCCAAGGAGGTCCTAAATCCAACTAGTATGAAGGCTAACTGGAACAAAAACCTCATCCTAGGACCAAACTTAGGTTTTATTAACTCGTGAAGAAGGGAGTGGCCTGGGCATAAGTGACTGTGAGAACGGTGAAAAGGACTTCAGTGAGTGCCATGAGAGACCTGAAATCACCTCTGCAATATGCAGAGAGAGAGTGAGAGATGTGGAAGGAGTAATCTGCATAACACTATTTGAGGTGGTAGCTAATGTTTTGGGGTCAGTGCTTCAGTTCAGTATAATTTTTTGTCCTGAGAAATCAAGGCCTCTTATCCCAAAGTTCATTCTCAGCGGACAGCATGGCTACACACGGCTACACAAGACCTAGCTCACAGATTATTTGCGAGTTATAGCCCTGGCTTCACTGACTTGTTGCAAGTTGCTTTAACAACTACACATCAGCCCCTCAGCTAGACCCATTTGTAACGCTTAAAGCCAGTTGAGGGGATAAGGAAATGTCTTAGTCAGCTCTGTACATATCAATACACAGAGACAGGCCCAGGTTTAACCAAAATGGAGACGACTGCTCTTCTTTCAAAGAGAATCATCCAGGTGGCCCTCCACAAGCAATGGCAAACCTTTTAGAGTTTTCAATACAAGCAGCATGCCTGCCATAGGTTTGCTACCACAGTATACATGCGAGTTGCAAATTGGCTCTGAACCTTTGGTAGTTGGCTTCCAACATGGCCACAGGTTAATCCATACCTCCTGGTGTTCAAAGCCTGGTATTGTCCTCTCCCACATCATACCATGAAGTTTGCTATCACCCCCTCTCATATCATACTGTGGATTGTCTGGGCGAAGAAAATAAAGCATAGTGATGGTATGCCACTTCAAAAATTATTACAAGGCTCTGGAATGTCTCTGATCACTCTTTTTGCAGCTATTTCAGAAAAATCTAGGAGAGCAGAACCAGTCACCAAAGGCAAAAGGTATCCTGAAACTGAAGAAAGAGATGGACAAATTCAGGATGGGACAGAGTGTAATTTACAGGTGTTTACAGAATGAAGCAGCAGCAAGTCCACAGATGGCAGCAAGACAGTAGGATCCCTGTATCCCCAAGGTGGAACAAAGAGCTTTAAGTGCTAAACTAGAAAGCGGTGAACCATAGTCAGATGGAACATCCCTGGGATTTCTCAAAATATTGGTATGTCAAAACTCCGTATTAAAAAACAGTCTGTGCATGACATTAAATGCTCAACTGACTGTCTTCAAAACTTGTTCATCCCGTAAGATTTAGAATGCACATGGAGGTCTCCTGGTGGACAAAATGTCAGTCACAGACCAGCATGGCTGTGGTCAGGTCATATTGTATCCCAGCACCAGCTGTCACATCACTGGGACATGCAGATAGCATGCAGACCCACACAGGAGAGGCCTATGTGGCAAGGTACTGAGACTTCCGTCCACAGTGAGCATGTACCAAATGCCTGCCAATAGTCCGGACAGAGCTTGGATCCTCGTCCATTTCTTTTTTTTTTTTTTTTCTTTTTTTTCATTTTTATCGGTACCGGAGATTGAACTCATGACCGCCTGCTTGCAAGGCAGGTGCTTACGCCGCTGAGCTAAATCCCCAGCCCCTCCTGGTCCATTTCTGGCTGAACTGCGGGAAGACTGCAGCCCTGACCTTCATCTTGGCTGTATCCTGTGAGAGACTTGAAACCACAACCACCTGCAAAGCATCCCCAGAATCTAAGAGAATACGTCATTTTAAGCCATCAAATCTTGCAATAATTTGTTAAATTGCATAAGATAAATAGTACAGAGCCTATTCTCTGCATGAACCAAGACTGAAAGAGACCTGGTTTTTCTACATTGTAATCTTAGCACTTAAGATTTCTTGAGTACCCTCATCAGTCACATGAGAATTTTAAAAGTGTATAAAGAAATCTTTATAGACTGATATTTGATAGCTTTGACCCAAGACTATCATGAAACAAGCAGATGTTTATAATCATGTAATGGTCATATTTCTTTTGTCAGTTTTCTGAAGCCAGGAAGGAAAGGATGTTGCATACACAAAGAACTTTCCATGCTAAAACTGAAGTTTCAAGATCCCAAAGCCTCAGTGAGGCAGTTTTACAGTGACTATTTTTTATGTTAGTAAATAGAGAATAAAAAGGAATGCTGAGCTTTGGGTATTTCATTCTTAGAAATGATACCTGTGCCAGAGCATAAAGTTCTTCCCCAACCACCCATCACAGATTAGCACATCAGGTTTTCACTTTCTTCTCCATGGCTTAGAGACCACAATCCATGTGTGTATATAGATATAGTATATCATTGGTAACCAACAACAATTTTTGTAACATTGAAGCCAATCTTAATAATCAGATGAATTTCTTTGCCTTCTGTGTGTTCTCAATACTTTTGCCTGGAGGTTTCAGTGATACTATAGAAACAGCTTTACTTACTCGATGAAAAGTCTGTATCTAGGAAGTCCTTTCCTAGATATAAATAGATAGAAATTTTGAAATCTATTTCAGAGACAGCCCAATATTGCTGTCCTACATGCTTCAAACATCACGGGAGGCAGAGATAACATGAAGTAGATTTCCTATTTCTTCCACAAAGAACAGATTCTGCATGTTATATAACACCCAACACCGGAAGGCTCTGAGAGGTGAAAAGCAGCAGACACACTGGTTAGAACCCCATGAATGACAAAGTACTGTGTTTGTTCCCTTCATTTTTTCCCCCTGCTTTATACATTCCTAACTGGCTTTTGCAGAAGCTGGCAATTCAGGTATCACCAATGACCAATTGCCAGAACTCTTAAGCTAAATGATCCAGAGAAGCATTAACACAAAACTTTTCAAAAATAACCTTTGTAGTCCATCCAACCACTGCAGAAAAACTATGTACCCACACCTACCTCTGCTTGTAATCATGAGGAGACTTTTGGCTTTGAAGATGGATAATGTCATGGTCCCATAAGCTTAAGTACACTGCGTTGTACTGTTCCATTTATTCTCTAAGTTATAGAACTGAGCATTGTCTGGGCCACGTAAGAGGTTCCTAACAAATATGTGTTCACTTGAGTGTTCACTGAGACATACTAGTGAGCAATTTCTTACCTGAAAGGTTTTCATGTGAGGTTACATGTTATCTGTATGTAGTAAACAGGTGAAGGAAATTAAAGATCTAATATAGTGTTTCAAGTACAGATAAAATCCTGTAGCTATACAATGGTTCCAAGATGCCTTTATGAAGAGACAAATGAGAAATCACATTAACTTAAACAGATGTCAGACATTAAAAAAGATAAC